ATACTGATTATGCACGTTTACCACCTTTATTTTCAATTAGGTTTTTTATTCATCCTAAATTGGCTTCCACGTCAATGAACATATTGTATGATTGTTCTGCCATAAAATGGCAATAATTGCGATGTTAATTTCTGTTTTGTGTTATACATACTGTTGCGTTGCAGGGTGGTTGGAATATACAGTATATTCACTTTTACACAACAATTAACTGCGTAATGTAGGTAATCAAACGGACCATTTAACAAAGCTATAAAGCTTGCCATTAGCAGATGGATTTAAATCCGACCCAATCACTTTAGCAGCAAATCCCAAGTGCGTCAAGTGGTTTTATTGTAATATTTTTTAACTCTTCATTCATCACGCATATTGAAGTTGTAAATTAAATCAATATAACCAATAAGGTTTTTTGTCCCATATATTGACATACTAGTTTATACTTTTTCGCCATCCCATTTCATAGTACGTAGACCCTATTAATCCCATTAATCTTATTCTAAATATGTAAAAATGTAGTATTAACAGGATTAAGAAGTTATAACAAAATATGCTGGTGCAGTACATAAGCATAATTCATATCAGCTACTTCACAGATAAAAATAGAATTATATATTTAACATGTATTTAATCGTCTTTAAGCACGATTTGACAAACTCATTAATGAAACAGTTTTGTAGAATTGATATACATTTTGTAAAGATCCAAAATACATTTCATAGTTGGTATAACTTTGACACGCATATTCATTGTATGCGTACAACCCACTCCAACGACTCAAGCATATCTGTCTGTCTATCTCGCAGCTACACACTTAAACTAATCCTGCTTGACATGTCGTGTCATAAAGGGTGTATATTAGCCTAAAGCTGTCATAATGTTGAATTATAACTTTATTTTTATTGCCTATTCTGTTACTGTTTGTGCCCATTATAACGTAATTTATGATGAAACCTTTTCCTCTACGTGTGTTGTTCACAATATATATATATATATATATATATATATATATATATATATATATATATATATTATGGTTTAACTTGGATTTGTTTTTTATTTAAATTATTGTACATTTACCTGCATATAGTTATTCATTAGATAACCATACGTTTACAAAAATTAACTACATGTGATTGTTCTCCATTTACTTTACGTCATATATCTTTCCAAGAATCAATCAATAGAACCTGAACTAATGACTAGTTAAAAGATAATTTTATAAAATAACATCTAAAAAGTCAACTGGGCTATATTAACTAAAACTGGCACACTAACATTAGGCAGTGTTTTTCCAATGCAACTAGTTTCGGTAACTCGAGTAAAATCTGCAAATGATATAAAACATAATTTGTCTCATCAAATAAAAGCATTTGCTAATACTTGCAGACATACAACATTTTGCAGTTTAGACAATGAGCCTATGTATGCAGTTGGTTATATTTTAAAATAAAATTCACTAAAGTTTCATCGATTAATAAAACTAATGGCAAACTAATCCCATAAGACGCAATACATTTTAAAGTAAACTATCTTGCGAAGTAATTAAAAAGTGAAATGGAAAAACTGCTTTTGACATCATGAGTTCGGATGTCACTTTAAACATAAAAACAATAAAAAAAATTTAAATCGTGGGTTGGTGTTCGGTAATTCCATTACCTCTTTCATTAAGTAAGCGCAGCATGCAGTTCCATGAGCAATAATATACGGCAAAGTGAAAATGTTTATACAATCGAGTAAACATTACAATGCAGAACATTGTTCCCTGACTAATTACCGGTTAATAGGATTGTGGGTAATTTATATATACATCACCGTGTAGTTTTAATAGGATTGTGGGTAATTTAAATATACATGACCGTGTAGTTTTATAAGTGTGTGACTGATTTTATACTATGATTAAAACCATTCGATAAGTTCATAAAGTAAGTTATACGTGGTAACGTAATTGAAGCGATGAGAAAACGATAACTAATACCAATAAAATTAAGTTCATTATTTTATCAAGTGTAAATTCGAAAGGATTGATCCAGTAATAAATACATCATCTTTGTTTGTACTCGTATGCTATACCTTAATATTAACTATGGATTTAAATTTAAGCAAGCATACTGTCCAATTCACTTTATTTCACAATTACACACATTTTATTTAAAACAATTCAATACTGAAATAATATTTCATAAATTCGAATCCATAGTTAATATTAAGGTATATTATACAAGTGCAAACACAGATGAAGTGTTGAAATGAAATGAAATGTCTTTATTTGCTTTTAACATAAAAAACATGCATTGCACTCGTCAATGTTACTGTCACTTATCATACAAAGCAAACCGTGCAAAAATACAGATTGAGTACAAAACCATGCGTTCTACTCTACAAAGTTCTACTCACACAATAGGCTAGGCATCCTTTTTCTTTCTTTTTTTTTAACGAAATCCTCAAGTCTGGCTGGACATTTATTAATAAGCCAAATTTTCCAAAAAATCTTTGAATTTTGTACCTTTCAGTTCTTTAATTGACTTTGGCAATTTATAAAAAAATATTGCTCCCTTGACATAAGGGCTGTTTTCTGTACGTATTAATGGAACACTCCTTGGCCTAAGTAATATCTTGATCACCTTGCGTAAACCACACCCTTCATTAAAATACCTTAAGTTGTAAGATCGCAGGACTAACGCCACTTTAATTTGAGCAAGTTAATTCATATTCAAGTTACCACTGTAAACTATTCTTTGTTAGTATTCGTAACTATGTATTGTATTAGTTTTATATATGGTATATTTTGACAAAATCTGTACAATTGTTTGGAAAACCTTTGTTAGGACCTTTAAATGTGTCCTGGGGGAATGTTTACAAACGTTGTATTTATTTAAGGTATTTATTCCTGTATTTAATCCTCCTCAGTCTTTACTACTGTTCAGAATAAACATCAAACGTTAACTGTATAAGTTTTCTTATAAAGTATTTACAAAGAAAACTACTGTTCCACAATGTAACTAATCAAATATTTTTCTAGATAGCAAGATGTAGTGCTGCGAAAAATAAAGCAACATTCTCAATCAAAGAGTTTACCATTCATCCACACTACCAGTTGTATTCCACTTTTACCTTTGACGGTTGATGACAGATTGATAATCTACCGTAAAATACACGTTTCCAAGAAAAGTTTGTAGTTTTTTTTTTCAGGAAATAAATTGCCTTTTAACTTAGATACTTTAGGATACGGGTTTATCAACTATATACAGACTTTACAATGAGATAGCTACGTATTGTATAAACTATAGTATCTTCAATGTCCCTACTATCCACGATAGTACAGAAAATACGTATAGTGTAGCACTCACTTTCCTACGTTTTCTATCCTAAAACTTTGGTTGTTATAGCTAGTCTGGGTGACGTAACTCATATTCAAAACTGTAAACTCATTATAAAATATCATTTAAGTTTATAAATAATTTTGTATAATTTATTTTTGTAAAATGAGAAATTGTTTTCTATAAGACTATACGGTTTGTTTTTCCAAAAAGAGTTTTTACCTCTTTAGCTGTTTATAGGCTTAATGAAGTTATTTTTATAAATCATACAATACTCTTCCAAAATCACAAATCACGGTGAATATAAGCTAGTTTTACGCTTTTATAATTAATATAGTTAATTATAAATACATTAATTAATTATAATTACTATAATTACTACTAATTATAATTACTATAATTACTACTAATTATAATTACTATAATTACTACTAATTATAATTACTCGGGTTCCGTGGTATAGTTACCTAGATTATAATAAACAAATCTTGAAAACGTTTTTCTGAGTGTTTGCGAAAAATATATAATACATATGTATTGTACTCAAAATAATCGATTCGTAGTGTTTCCAACATTATTTCAACCGGAATATTCTAATCCGCAATAAATTGGCTAATTGAAAGGATTACTTGATAACAAAATGATTCCATGTGAACAAGGTCATTAGTGAGTATAATAATATGAGCATAAATATGATGTTGAACGAGAACCTTAATACTTCACCTTTTAGATCGGAATTATAGATTTGAATAATCCTCCTAATTGCTGCAATAATATATTAAACCCTTCTCTTTGAAATGAAACACTAACGAGCTATTGACTGATTCGCCTTTATATGTATTGTGAAATTCAAGTTACTTAGGCAACATCGGTTATATTATCGTCCAAACATTGAATTTCCATTTACTAAAAAAAAAAAAAAAAAAAAAAAAAAAACAATAATTGATTGATCAGTTGTAGCAATACATATAATATTTACAAGAACTTAGATATCACTTTAGTTCATTAATCTGATAAATATTAAGTATTTCCTTTGTGTAACTGGAAATAATTATAATATTTCTGCACCCAATCAGGTATGAAATAGATGCTTTCTTTAATTCATAATTTAAATTATTCTACAATTGAACATTTAAACCTAAAGCTATGGATGTGTAACTATTTCAAGTAGCAGATATAAGGAACGGCATTGTTCTCTTTCGCTTACTCCCCGCCACGCGCCGTTGCGAAGCACATGTATATAGGCTCTTATGATTTTATCTTCTCCTTTATCATACCACATAAATAATATCACAAATAGAAACGCAGTAATCTCTCTTTTTATTATACGTGGAAAAGTATTGGACCGAACAATGTGGCTTCAACATTATATGGGTGTAATTTTAGTGAAGAAAATTAGCCGTAGACAATGTGTATTTTGTCAGTGTCACTTGCTTGTCTTTCATCAAGGTTCTTGTCACTTTGAACAAACTTTTAAGACAATTTTCTTATGTTAATGTTTGGGATCGCTGTTTTGAAATGAAAAACCTAATGAATGGGTTTATTCGAAATGGTATTACAGTAGCAATTTTTGGATTGTGATTAGTGCAATCAGGATAGGTGCATTACACATTTGATTTCAAAGGTTTGGGCTACAAAATGAGTCGCATTTTAACAAAGTACAACTGTATATTTTAATATTTACACAAGTATTGTAATCCATTCAAGATAACAATGAAAAATATTCTTATTTTTTTGGTACAGTTTATACATCTTGTTAAAACATTTATAACTTTGCGAAATTCCTTCCCAGGGGGCTCACAACTTAGGTAGGCATTTCGCTAAAATTGCAACATAAAATAAACATTACATCGTACTTTTAACAGTTTTATAAAAACTACACAATTTATATCAACATGAGTAAAATATGTAAATACACGGATCTTAAATTGTTATAAAAAAGTACATAGCACATTTAATACATTTTGAGTAATATTTAACTAATATTTACTCCATTTATGCCTCATTTACTAAACCTTTACTGTCCGAAACCAGTTCCGATGTAAAAGATAAAACCAAGGCTCAGATTAGTTTTATTCTTCACATACCTGGCTTTTAAAACACATTTTTAAGTATGTAAACAATTAGATCAAAAATGTAGAGTGATTGACTTTATTAGTGTACATCTCTTTAATGTGACAAAATGTTTCTTTCTTTTCAAGACTCGACCGTTGTAAAAACAAACGTGACACTAGGTAGTTGAGCAATGTCTGGGGACGTAGCTGGGACACCTTGTAAGGAAGGAGAGGCAAGAGGGAGGTTAGAGAGAAGTGCAGGGGACCCTCTTGCTGGCTCTCCGCTAGACCTGTGTCACCTGCGTGGTAGTGTGGTTGTTGTGGCCGTTGGCGTCTACCTGTGGCACGGGCATCCACCTTGGCAAGGTCACTTGTAAGGAAGGAGAGGCAAGAGGGAGGTTAGAGAGAAGTGCAGGGGACCCTCTTGCTGGCTCTCCGCTAGACCTGTGTCACCTGCGTGGTAGTGTGGTTGTTGTGGCCGTTGGCGTCTACCTGTGGCACTGGCATCCACCGAGGCCTGAACATCACCGTGAACGTTGTCCTGAACTGGCGACTCATGGCGCAGTACAGGATGAAGTTGATGGCGGAGTTGATGAGGGCTAGGATATCCATCACTTCCCCCAGCTTGTTGTAGCAGTCCCGGAAGAAGCGTTGACCCAGCACGACGCTGAGCACTCCTAGGATACCCTGAGGGAACTCAGTGAGAAGGAACAGCAGCAGCACCGCCAGCAACATCTTGGTGGTTCTGTCTGTCTGTCGCTCCTTCTCCATGACCCTGGTAGACTTCCTGCTGCTGCTACTGGTCAGCATCTCTCTGCGTCTCTTGGTGTCCAGCAGCGCGCAGATCAGCCGCAGACTCAGCACGGTCAGCGCTATACAAGGGATTATCTTGATAACAACACTGTATACCCAGAAGTTGACGTCCATCAGGAGGTTGTTGTTCGCTTTGCCCATCTCGCTGAGGTCCACGACATACAGCGTTGTGTTCTGGCCTGTCGTCGAGTTGGGCATGGCGTCGTTGCCGTCTTCGCCAAGTAACGCAATCTGTAAGTATTTAAAAAAATAATCATAAATCAATGTGGATATTATATTACATTCATATGAAAGGTAGTCTTTAATATTGAATTATTAATTGTTATTTTCTTAAACTGCTTAACACGTACTACCGTTGCAAAATTAATTGGTTTAAGTTCCTCTAATTTAATTTTTACTAAAAGTTAAGTAACTGGCTAAACTTTGATACAGTTTAATGAATAATTTACTTATGCTGAAAACAAATCCAACTTCTTGCTAAGCATCTCAGAAGTAATACACTGAATGAGCTTTATGTAGTTCTAATGCTAAATCATGTTGGTTTAATGATGAAAACTCATTTTTTATTTCACCGATCCTTAGTAACGGAATCTCTAGTTCAGAAATATCTCTCTAAGTTAAGATTTGTATTTATTTCACACATTTAAGTAGGGCCTATGTTCTATATGAGAAAAAATTAGAAATTACAAAAATGTGTGGTTAAATAATAATTATACATCGTAGTACTATTGATATTTTTTTAATATTCTAGATAAAAGAAGGCTATATTAATATAAATGGCAATAGTAACACAGATCGTTCCTGCTTCTTAATTTACCATAATTCATTATAGTCAGAATTAAACATACTTATAGGGGCAACTTACTTTATCTAAAGCCGAGCCAATGCTCTAAAAATTGAGTTTTCACCATCGATTGATAGGTAAATGAGTTTGCTCAAAACATCAACAGTAGCCATAAATTTCGACGGGTGTCTAGTCTAATTTTAAATTATTTCAGAAAATGAGAGGATATGTTTTTATATGTTTAACTGTCCTGTATTATTATGAGTTAAGTATAATTAAATTGCTTACAGAAGTGGGCAAGTAGAAATAGTAATAAGTTCTTTAGGAAATGCCAAAAATAATATCTTTCATGTCAAATAGTTGTCATAATATTTTTAAATCTGTATAATTTAATGCAAATTAGCCATAAAATCTTTCCAAAATTACTTCTCTCCTAGCAATATAACTACCGTATATTCAGTAGCACCGTTTTATCGTTTTATTCTTTGTCGAAGGAGCCGAAACTCCCCGACGACTACCCGGTACCTAGTTGACCTTAACCAGGGACCCATGGCGTAGGCCGGAGCTTATACACCAACCCTGAGCACACCATGGGTGGATGGCTTAAGTCCATCAAGCTCACCGGCTGCAAAACGGCACTCAATAGCACCGGGGTAACAGGTTTTTATATATTACCTTAGGTTCGATCTCGAAGGCCAGGTAGAGCGGGATACACAGCAGTGGACAGCAGATGTAGCCAGCCGCGATGGCTGCCAGAGTACGTTGCATGCCACACCATTCTCTGTTACGTTGTGGATGTGCCACGGCGATGTATCTCCACACAGCCAACGTCACTGTCAGCCAGATAGAGATTGTGTGGAACACCTGCGACACCTGGGCGTGCAGTAGGACGAACAGGGCCCAGCCATAGGAGTACCTTAGCATTACATCAGGGTCAGTAACTGAGAAACCAGGCTGATGGAGGTGAAATTATGTCATCAGATAAGTATCAGGTAAGCTTAAGTTGGTAATAAGACCATATAGGTCACAAGACTTCTTTAAACCACTCTTCGATTCTGGACTTCCATACGTTGTTCAGTTAGGTATTAAGTAGTTGAGAAAGATTGTACTTTATAACATAGTTTCTGATGGAAAGAAACGTTTAAAAATTGCATATCAGGTTACTTAAACACCACAATAGCCTACCTCTCCCACTCATCAGGGTCAGTAATAGAGAAACCAGGCTGATGGAGGTGAAATTATGTCATCAGATAAGTATCAGGTAAGCTTAAGTTGGTAATAAGACCATTTAGGTCACAAGACTTCTTTAAACCACTCTTTGATTCTGGACTTCCATACGTTGTTCAGGTAGGTATTAAGTAGTTGAGAAAGATTGTATTTTATAATATAGTTTCTGATGGAAAGAAACGTTTAAAAATTGTATATCAGGTTACTTAAACACCACAATAGCCTACCTCTCCCTCTTAGGCCGCTGGGGCAGATACATGTGGCACGCGAAGGGGATGTACTCTATCATAACCAGCAGATCAGCCACAGCCAGTCCGGTCAAGATGGCGTTGGTTGGTGACGTCATCTCTCTCCTGGTCAGTACAGCAATGTTCAGAACATTAGCGACGGATCCAAACACACAGACTAGCAGACTGACATAACCGTGGACTCCGCGGTAGGTGGCGTGGAAATGGTCCAGCCCCGGCCCACAGTAGCTGTAACACATTACATGTATACTTAATTAACTTAAATTGTGTATCAAGTTAATAAATCTTCAAAGCAAATTTGGAATAGGTCCGATGTTGAATGGAAGATATGTTTAAGATTTAACAGAGTTGAAAATACTAAGGTATCCACCTCTACTGGCAAAACCTTCTGATCTTACTGTTCTCGGACTAACAATTTTGTCCAATTGTGATATCACTACAGCGGAAACATCATTTATGGTTAATAACTCTAGTAGTTAAAAATTAAAAATATTCACAAAGATTAAATGTTTAATTCATTATATTTTGTCCATATTCTTACTGGTTAGTTAACTCAGTAACACTTTAATAACATGACATCACTACTTAGAATACCATACCTTGATTCAGAGGGGGTCGGCAACGTAGTGTTTGCAGTTACGTTCATGCTGTTTGTTGGTGATGGTCGTAAGGGGCAGTCATCTGTGAACCCTCATCCGGGATATCTATAACATATGATGGCATGTAAATGTTAAGTTTTTTTATCTCTTAGGTATATTATTTAACAAAAATAAAAATTAAAGATGATTGACCAAAAATTAATCTCACTATGCGCAAACCTGGCACCTGCTGAGCTTACAATTGGATTATACTTGAAATATTGAATATGATTTTCCATATCATATATAATTTGCTGAAATTGATTAACGGTTGATTCCTTCTTAGTTGCTTCTGGCTGCTATGTGTAACAACGTGGACTCATATATTCTAAGGTACTTTACAGAATGTTGCTGGATATTGATTGCGTGGTTCTGAGGGAAAGCGGTTTTCCATTATAGAGATAGATCTCCAACCCTCGTGAGACCTATCCATTTCCGATCTTTAGATATACTTCGCCCTGAGATCAACTAGAAACTGATACTGCCTTAGACATAAGACGAAAAGTAAACATTAATGCTTTGGTACAGTATACTTTCGATTAACTGAGGTTGTTGGGAGGTTAGGAGTTATAATATTACATAATGAAGCCAAATACTTGGTAAATATATATTGCAATAAGCTTGGGTACTTTCCTGTTAAAGGGAACATTCATTATTATCGATGATTTTTTCTCGATATATCGATATAAACAAATTGAAACATATCATCAGCTGTACCGATGGTAGTTAGTTTTTATTTGAAATAACAAAACAAAATCAATATTATTTAATCATTGGCTAGAAAGATTAAGAAAGAGTGACCAGCAGTTTAGAAGTTTTAGTTTTGTAGGGTTGGTAGTGGTTAGTGATAACTAGGTTCAACTTTGTCAGTTTTAAGTTCACTGGAAATATGGTCATCTAAGTTGTGGTTGCTGTAGAAAATTGTAAGTAGTTTTAATATTGTTTAGTAATAAGATTTTAGCTGATTTATTGTATATAGCTTTGTAGAAATCACTTTTGGAAAAAGATGAAAAGGAATGAACAGTTTTCAAATCAATTTTAATGCATTTCACAAGAAAAGAAAACAAGTAAAGTTTATACAGACCTGTTGAGTTTTGTTCTAGGAGAAGCACATTTTCACAAGAAGTTGTAAAGATCTTAAATCTACTTTTAATTATTAGAATTTATAGAGAATAGTTTTTATTGGGTTTGTGTGATGTTTTCAGACAGAAATCAACCACTTCTTAGTACTACCACTTCTTGTTCACCTTCTTATGATTGGTCCAGTAGCTTTTGCACCACTTCTAGTTGCTTTGCATGGTATCTGCTAGTGCCAGTTCTGACCTTTAAACCAGTGTCTCTGATTAAAGTAAGATCTTTCCACTATTTTATTATTTAGTATAATTTTTGGAAGTAACAACTGGATATTTAATTTCATTTGGAAAGTGTATTTTGAGAAATTTGACATCCGTAAAATAAATGCATCTTTGGCCTACTTTGTCTTTTAATTTATCTCACTTCTACTACCAGCTTAAATTAGATTCATCCTAAATTGAAGTATACTACCTAATTGGCTACAAGGTAGGGGTATACAAGTGCGCATCTCTGCTAATGAATCATTTAAAATTAGAAGCTGGTAAAAGTGAGAAATACATAGGCCTACATGATTATTGAGGATTATGCCTATGTTAGAAGAATTACAGCAAACAAGTAGAGGCTGAAAATTTTCAACATGTCAAAATACAATTTAAATTATCTAAACAAAGAAGAACTTCTGTACGAGATAAGAATAAGAGGGGAAGAAACGAGTGATAGTGATGTAGACTCTTTAAGAAAAACTTTAAGATCTTGTATTAACCAGAATACCGATTTAACAAATTTAAAAGGTTCATACACTTTATCTGGGGAAATAACTATAATTGGGGAAAAGTGTGAACAAATTGATTCTCTAATTGAACAGTGTAGGGAAAATGTGACTAAACTCAAAATAGCTAAAATCAAGGCTAAAATAGTGCATGTACAAAACCGGACTACTAATCTATTACAATGTAAGCTGGATCCAGATAAGAAAGTTAGTTTAGACAAATTAAATCAGCAAATCTTAAATAGTTTTGAGCAATTTAAAACAATGCATACCTTCTCAGACCAGGAGATGGGGGATTTTGAAGAGGAGCTGAATAACTCTATAGTTGAGAATGAAATAATTGGGGAAAAATTAAATCAGTCTAAATCGGTAGTTCCACCAACTGAAAACTTCACTTCATCAACACCTCAAAAAGTAGAAATGGATGGTTTTCAACAAAATGTGCCGGGTCAAGTCATAAATAATCAACCAAACTCATGTACAGTTGTAAATAGTAGCCTAAGTCCTAGTAGCCTTTTTACAAAGTTGTCAAACCCATTGGAAATTTATTTAAAAAATTTTCCTGTGTGTAATGGTTTAGAAACAAACACATTGTTGCAGTTTTTGAGAAACCTAGTTACTGTCCGTAATGAAACTTCTTTATCTGAGCAAGATTTGTATGAGATTCTACCAATTTATTCTACAGCACCATTAGTGAATAAAATATTAGAATTCAAAAGGGAATCAAAATCAATTGATTTGTTGCATGCTAATATAATCACTACATTTTTGCCAATCACCTTAAGGGAAAAGCTGAAACAAGATTTAATTTTTCGACCTCAAAAACACCTTGAACCTTTGTCTATATATGTGCATGAAATAAAAATAAACCACCAGGTATTAAAGTGTGATTTAACTGAGAGTCAACTTGTTAGTTTTATTAAGAATGGAATACATCCTGATTTGCGCAACAAACTAATATTTGAGAAGAACCCTGAAACATTTTTAGACTTAGATCATCTTTGTATAAGTTTAAATAATGTAACATACAATGATTACCTCAGAAATCAAGGTTTTCCACTTAGTAATAGTAGTGTTAGCAAGCCTTATCTATCAACTGATGATAAGCCTAGGATGGATAAACCTAACCCAGGAGTTCAACGACCTAAAAGTCACTACTCAAATCGTAACAATGAGAGGCCTGTTTGTTTCAAATGTCAAAGAGTAGGTCATATTGCTCGTAATTGTTACAGACCAGATCCAAAAAACTAGTTAAGCCAGGAAAAACACGTAGCCTAGACTACAAATCTGTTTTTCCGGACGGCAAGAAAGAATTCGGAAATAATAAACCTGTATATAGTTCTCATAGTCCCAATTTTAAATCTGAACTGAGAAGAGTTGTTAAGGATTTTAATAAAATAAATTCACCTGGATTAAAGAAAGTAAAAGCTAAAACTGTAACACATTTACCCTGTATTTCTGTGGATTTAGGAAACAAATTAAATGTGGGAGCTTTGTTAGACACTGGAGCTAGTCACAACTTTATAAGCTTGGATTTGTACAATAGATTATTGGGAAATAAATTAATTATGAGTGAAAATACTTGGCAGGGAACCATAGTAGCTGCAAACAATGAACCTTTGAACATAAATAAGCAATGTGAAACTTTGATTAAGATAAAATCATTTACCTGGAAACAAACATTTTTAGTGGTTGAGTTAAAATATTTTGACATGATTTTAGGATACCCTTTTATGTGTGCAAGCAAGTTAAACCTAAATATGGATCGACAAATGGGTTATTTTACATTTAAACCTGAAGATGAAATTAAGTTAATTCCAAGTACAAACCTGAGTGAATTAAGCTTAAGTAGTATTAAAGTAGGAGATGTTGAAATGTGTGAAGAAGCTGAGAAGTTAATTAAGAATTTTCCTACTGTTTTTACGGATAAGATAGGATCAGCACTTGATTTGGAAATTGAGCTTAAAGTGACGGATGATAAACCTGTTAGTATACGCCCTTATTTTTTAAGTCCACCCAAAGTAGAGAAGATGAAAGCTATAATTGATGACTGGATAAAACAAGATGTCGCGGAAGTTTCCACTAGTCCGTATAGCGCCCCTGCATTTTTAACTCAAGATGACAGACTTGTAATTAACTACTCTGAACTCAATAAGAAGTTAATCAATGTAGATTACCCGCTAGGAGATATGCAGAATATGTATCAGCATCTAAAAGGAGCTAGATATTTTACAGTCATAGATTTAAACAAAGCATTTTTACAATGTCCCATAGCTTTAGAATGCAGAGATTTAACATCTTTTAGTACAATTTTTGGTAAATTCCGTATGAAGAGAATTCCATTTGGATTGAAAATAGGCAGTAGCGTACTATCACATTATTTGGACAAAATATTTAATGACATCAAATTTCAGTATATGATTAACTTTTGTGACGATATAGTTGTATATAGCCCTGATAAGAGAAACCATATTGAGCATGTTACAGAAGTGATTAAGAGATTAGCACAACACGGACTTACAGTAAATCCACAAAAAGTCAAATTCTTTTGTAAGGAAATAAGTTTTTTAGGACATCTTATTAAACAAGATAGCATTACTATAGATCCCGAGCGAACTAGTTCATTAATGAAATTTCCTGCTCCAAAAACTGTGAGGCAAGTGCGACAGTTTATAGGAATGTGTGGTTATTGGTCTCGATATATTCCAAAGTATGCTGAGATATGTTTACCTCTGTTTGCGCTGAAAAAGAAAGGTGTAAAATTTAAGTGGAATGAGGAGTGTCAAAATGCATTTGAAACCTTAAAGGGTAAGATAGCAAATCCGCCTATACTACAAATGGCCGATTTTTCTAAAGAATTTGAATTGCATACCGACGCAAGCGACCTAGCAGCTGCTGGTGTTTTATTGCAAAGAAATGAGGAGGGGAATTTAATGCCTATTGCTTACTATTCGAAGAAATTCACACCTACTGAGATGCGTTATAGCACTTACGAAAAGGAAGCTTACAGTGTAATATTGTGTGTAGAGAAATGGCATCAATTCTTAGAAGTAAGAAGTTTTAAATTAGTTACTGATTGTCAAGGTCTTAGTTTCATGCTCAAATCTCGAAAAAGCCGTGGAAGATTGTCTAGATGGTTTGAAAGGTTGTTTAGTCTTCCATTCACAGTTGAACATGTAAAAGGTTCGGAGAATATAATAGCTGATGCGTTATCACGTATGTT